TGGAATTGTTTAGTTTCTAGTTTGAATATCATTTAACTCTTCCTATCTAAAGACATAATGATAATAGAATTCATCTCAGTTGTTATGCCGATTTGTTAATTGTAATGAGAAACATAGCAAGAAAGTTTAAAAATTGTGAAATACTTTCTTAGTAGTACTTTTATGAAATAAACGTTAAACTGTGCCGGTATTTGATTCCGTTTGTAAGTCTTACCAAAAAGGTTTATTTTACTAGAACTGTGCTCTTGTTTTAGCAAAGAAAGAAAAATGTTCGTGCATCATTATGGCAATCGTTCCGTCATGGATGATGTACCAATACCTGTAAGTCTGTCACTTTATCTCTTCTCACTCACTAGATGGTTAAAAACAGTATTCAGTTTCAGCTGTGTTTAAGGAGAAATTAAAATTTAAAAGAAAAACGAAGAGCGGTTAAACATTTTAATAATAGTTCAAATTATCGTGTAACTAAATAACTCTTGATTAAATAATTGGGTTCTTTATCAAATCATTGTTAAGCAAGTTAAAGTAAATGTTTCAAATGTTAGTGACTAGAAAAAGCCTGGAGCTGAGAGAATTATGGTATCTTATAACATGCATTACTTACAGATGAGTGCACTGTTTGCACACGATGCATTGCTTGTGGCAAGTAATGCGATTGACATTGTTTTAAAAAAGTACGGCCATGATTTATTCTCCAACGTATTCAGTCAAAATCAACTGTATAATGCTGGTCAGCCAGGAATACATTGCAAGCGTGATCTGCAACATGCTACTTCACATTTAATGCCATTCGAATTCGGTGATAAAATTATCGAAGCCATTAGAGAGGTACGATTTCATCCCGAGACTCCCTATTCTATTACAAATTCAAAAACAACTTCATGATATGCCAGTTTTCGAGAGTAGTCCTGCTTTTAAACAATTCCTTTACCAGAACAAGAAATTTCAAATTTAAATCCGAGAACAGAAATCGGAAATCAAGAAAATCAAAAATCAATCATTAAATCAGAAATCAAGCCTGATTACTGCTTTCGAAAAACAGTAGAATGTATCATTTGCTTTTTTCTACAAATGCGATAAAAAGAGGCGACTATTGTTAAAATACTTTACATTCAACATCAAAATGCAGATTTCAATTTCCATCCTTTTCTTTTGGATTTTTGTAATTACCCAACCACAACAAAGAAATTGAGGCCATTGGAGAATACTGTTGATAAAATTAAATTAGGATTTTGACCGCTAATTTGATTTCATCAGCACTAAAAATTTTTTTAAGAAGAATAAACGACAGGATATTATTATGAAATTCATTTTTATTATTTCATTATTATTATAAAATTTCATTACTACCGTTATTATGAAATTTATTATTATTACTTATATTATTATGAAATTCATTTTTTATTATTTTTTTGAATCACTATTTTGAAATTCATTCAGAAAATCACATCCTGATCAGATAAAAAGTAGTTCATTCCAAGGTTTCAAAACTGAAGTAGGACTGTAAAAATTTTGTTTTGGTAAAGGCTATAAGTCAGAAACCAAGCCTAATTTTAAATGTTTTAAATATTTGCGAAATACCCTTCCTTAATTTTTAGCTGTGATAAATTAAGATGAACTGTTCCTTGAAGGCACTTATGTGAAGTTTTAAATTCAAAAAATCCTTACTATCGTAATCACAATGTGACAACAAGATTTGCATTTTTCGGCCATCCAAAAAATTTCAGACTCTACCAGAAATATGTAATAGATATATAAATGCAGGCTCAATAAACTGAATTTCAGTTGGATAAGCATGAGAATGGTACTCAGCCATCCAAATTATAGGTAAAACTGGACGAAACTGATGGAACGCTTACTGGTCAAATACAGTTCACTAAGTCGCTAAGCAGAACAAATTTCTCAGCGAAAGTAGTCGAAATCAATCCAAGCGGAAGAAGTCTATATAGCGCTCGAAACGTAACTAGCCTTTATTTCTAACAGAACCTTGTGGGCAGGTGTGAAATTTGACCTAAAATGAGTAATAGAACTTGTATGAAAACATTTTATACTAAATTTCTCAAGTTGAATGTGAATTTTTTGGGAATTTTAAAAAGAAAATTGTTCCTTGGAACGACTGCCACATTTTAGATGTATGATTGGAGACAGGGTGTGGGATTCATGATGAATGTAGAAAGTAAGCCGAGTTTGTTGAGGAAAGAAACTATCACTCGTCTGCAGCATCGATCTAATAGGCTGCATATTGTAACGGTCCTGGTACGTTGATTAAAAATGAATCCAGTATATTAGCCTGTACATAGTGGCTTGTTATTTTCAACAGACTTGATTTTATCGTTTAGTTCAAATATTGCAAACTTTAACCGAGCGTAACACATTTGCATTCTTAGTAAGAAATCCAGTGCGTATTGAAAAACAATAATCACTTTATGCAGGAAAGGTAAGGAAATCAATCAGTACCATAACATCATTTTATTTTTGAAAAATTCAGAACTAAGTACAGAAATTGCAGGTAAAACCGTTCGTGATGTTAAAGAGGACGATTCCTGGAGAGCCCGCTCATGTCGGTAATGACCGTTTTGAAGGATACTGTATTGATTTGATAAAACTGTTGGCAATGAATATCAGCGGTTTTGATTCTTATGAAATATTCATTGCTGAAGGAAATAAATATGGACAACGTCAGGATGATGGTTCCTGGGACGGAATGATTGGATATTTACTGAACGAGGCATGCCTTAACATATCTCTTACAAAGGAGCTTTCAAAATACAAATTATTTAGTTATTTTGCTTCCTCTGAGCTGATTCTAGATAGAAAATTTATTGTTGAAAGGAATTTAGATGATTTACTCATTCATAGATATTATAGCTTTATTGAAAATAAAGGAGAAACTGGGATTTTAGGGGTCGGTGACCCTGACCTGGAGAAATCCGGTTTTCAGTTTTCTTTCCTAAGAAGTAGTGCAAGTTTCCCTCAACGCATATTTTTCTAAATTAATTGCAATAACACCTATCCCTTTAAACCATCTAACAATATTCCATGATTTCCAATTGAACTAAAGAGATTTTCCTTTTGAGCATCGTGAGAAAAGTGGGTCTAGAATCCAGAAAAGTAGGTTTGAACCAAATTGTCGTCTACTTTTTTCCTTCCGTGGATACATGTCCATTGTTGGATACGTGTTAAAAAATTACATAAAAAACACCCATAGCTTCCCTGTCTGCTGTAATACACGATTGAAAAACACTGCTGTAAACTTGCTGGAAGGCGCAGACCAAACTGCCAGCAGGAAAAATATTGAGGTGGAAGACGACCTAAGTCTTAAAATCCAAAAAATTCAATCTTACTCAGTACATATGATTTTCGAAGAAAATTTAACAAAAACCATTTCTGTTCTCTCTCCATTGTTTGGAATGCCTTAACATATTTAGCATAAATTTTATAATCTGATATTTTCTCCTAAACTGAGTGTAAAACAGATTAATTCCTAATCCGCCCCTTTCATTGTCACTTAACGAACTTGAGCTAAGCGGACTGAAGGTCCCTGCGAGAGTTCAAATGACCGAACACAAGGGTCATATGAACAGTGCTGAAAAAGTTGAGGTAATGACAGCATGAGAGATTCAAAGAACCATAGATTGATAATGGGCGATTAGCAACGAAAAAATCAAAAAAGGATTTGATAACGGGAAAATCCTTGTAAGAAATAAGCAATGTCAACAGATATGCAGACAGCGGATGTTGCCGTAGCGCCACTTACCATCAATCAAGCTCGCGAACGTGTCGTTGATTTTTCGAAACCATTTATGACCACCGGAATAAGTATCATGATTAAGAAACCAGAGAAACAGGAATTCAATGTTTTCTCGTTCATGCAACCTTTGGGAACGAATATTTGGTTCCTCATACTGTGCTCATATGCTGGCGTAAGTTATTTTTGGCATTAGGTGAAGCATAACTGATTAATCCCTAATAGTATACTTTGTGATAACAGTGGGAATTTCTGAAATATGATAGAATTATGTCGGGGTAGTGGAGAAGTCATAGGATGATGAATGGAAAGCCTTGTCAAGTTATCCTCAGTTGTCAGTTTGACATTTGAACCGACATGATTCGGTTAGCTCTTATCGTATTGACAAATATCAAAATTATCGTGCTATCGTTTGAATTATTCAAAAAATCCTAGTGGTAGTTTGGTTGATTAATGAGATGGCCGGAACTATTAATAATAATGAAATCAATTTTATTCTCATTATTTCAAATAAGGGTCGATTATCAATTTAGACAATAAGTATATTACATTCACAATTGTCTTATCACGTTAGCTTGAGGTACCTTTAAGCTATTCTGAAATTCTTTCATGTCTTATTAATCCATTTCCACAATTTCATCAATATCCACACTTTATGCTAAAATCTATTTGTCCCATTTAAATTTTGCTGATGAAGACGAATGTTTGGAACTGAATGCACTCATGAAAGTTCACTCCACTTTAATTTCCTTACATCTTTCTTTTTCCGAATTTCCAAACGTTATTTCAAATTAATCCATTTCAGGTATCACTTACTATATTTCTAGTGAGCTCCTTCAGTCCCTATGAAACACGTACAGAAGCGGAATCACCGACCCAACTTTCGTTGTACAATAGTTTATGGTTCACTTTATCATCGTTCATGCAACAAGGTACCGATATATTGCCCAGGTAAGTCTACTTTAATTATTAATTACGAATGCTTCTGTGCACTTTTTATGTTATCAAAATGTTTTAATTGCCTGGATATGTTGCAGGGCACCATCTGGACGGATCGCCAGTAGTGCATGGTGGTTTTTCACGCTTATCATTGTTTCCTCATACACTGCAAACTTAGCGGCATTCCTGACCCTAGAGAAGATGACTCCGCCAATTGAATCGGTCGATGATCTGGCTGCTCAGAAAAGAATCCTTTATGGAATTGTTAAAGGTGGCTCAACAGAGGAATTTTTCAAGGTACACAAAGTTTTCAATTTATTATGAGTAACATTTATTACTATTACATTTATTACTATTATGTTGTCTTCTGCTTCTCCGTCTTTGCCAATATTTCCGAATCAGACTAGAAAAGATTGACCTCAGTCTTGTCTATACTGAATTATCAACTTCCATTTCAAGTTTACGATCTTTACCATAATTCACTTGTTTAATATATATATTTCAGGAATCAGCAGTACCCATTTATAAAAAAATGTGGAGTTTCATGTACGATACGTATACTCAGCAACTTCGTGCACAGCAACATCCTAATATCTCAGATACTGTAATGGCGAACACGTATGCTGAGGGAATTGAAAAAGTGCGCCGGAGCAAGGTTCTTCCATATAAACTCATCTCGTTTATTGACTCTCAAGTTTCTCCAATCTTTATGCTTCGAAGATACTGTCCAGATAGATAACTATGTCCACATCTTTACATATTATTTTCAAGCGATAGACTTTCTTCGATAATACTTATCGGCGTGGAAGGAACAGAAGAAATAGAGTAAGGAACGGGTTCCTCGGAATTGATCAATTGATGCGGAATTGATCAATTAATTCATTGCATAAATTCTGGAAAGTTATTTAGAATAAATAGATAAATTATTAGAAAGACTGATGTTTCCAAATTAAAACCCATCCAGCTTTGTTGTAAACATTTTCGTTATCCAAAAACGCACTGAAGGGACAGTATGCATTCCTACTGGAAGAAACGGCCAATGAATACGAAAACACTCGAAAACCATGTGATACTATGAAAGTTGGTGCTAATTTGAATTCTTTGGGATATGGAGTTGCAACCAAGATTGGTAATCCTCTCAGGTAGTTTTTTTGCCTTTTTTCCTGTAAAATCATTAGATGCTTGCTATTCGAGGCACTCTTCTTGTACTGAGTAATTTCGACAGCATTTTATATATTTCGAACTAATATCAGTTCTTCTTGTTACATCATTATGGGCGAGATTTGCTCGGTGCTTATCATGCTAATAAAATGTTAATGCTAACGTGATTTTCCAAAATGTCATGGTGTCAAATGTCAGCTTTAATAATTAGCAGAATGAGATCTATGCACTTCATAAAATGATAACTTTAGTCGTACCTTTTCCCATGAGTAGAAGTCAAACTTCTCTCACTGCACTGCCGGATGGAAAAAAAAAGTGTGCAAAATTTGAGAGGACTTCTCATCCTCATTAAATTTTATGATTATATAGTTCTTATAGAGAAAGCATTAATTTCGCGATATTATACTTGCATGAGAAGGGTGAACTGAAACGACTAGAAAATAAATGGTGGTATGACCGAGGTCAATGTGATCAAGGAATGTCGATGTCTCCGGTCACAATTATTGTTGCTTAGGAAACAATAATAATAACAATAATATACCTGGTGTTAGATTCTGTTTCATATTTAAGATCTTAGTATCCCATAGAATCCATGTGGTGAGCTGGATATATCTTGCCTCCTTATTTCTCCCCTCTTTTCTTAGAAATTAACATATGCTTTTCGATACTCCCACTGAGAAAAATATCTTGAACCTTATTATTTCCCATTGACGATGAGAGAATCATAAAATCATTCAACCAAGTTGTGGTAATAATAAGGAAGCAATTTTGGGCGAGATTATTTTTAAGATTCAAAAAACTGTCTGAAATACCTGTGGCGCATTTTGTCATTATTGTCCTTTTTCCTTCACTGAGGTCCGTAGACAGCGATTTCCTTGAATTATGTATTTATACTGTTCCAGGAAGGGGGTAATAGTGCCAGTTTAACTCTCAGCAAAGTTGCTGGGATATTTTACATTCTATGTGGCGGCATGATATTGTCAATGGCAACTGCCTTTGTCGAATTTTTGTATCGTTGCAAGCTGGAACGATGCGAAACTGCAAGAAAGGTTATTTCCACCGAATCAGCCCTGTCTTTTGTAGCTTCATTACTGTACTGAAAAGTTCTTTTACATACAAGATATGAAGTACAGTTACTTTCAGTTTCTGAGGCTTATTAAATTCATTCCAGAATCATTTACGACGGAAGACTTTGAGCAGTGGCAACGATCATTCACAAAAGCGCTCAAGATCTGCTGAATTATGAAAATATGTCATTTATAAAGTGTATACTAATGTCTGACTTTTAAAATCAATTTTTTTGCAATTTTGTGATATTTTTTAACTGTATGTGGAGTTACTATGATCAATGCTAATTTCAGTGAAGTTGTTGAAAGTTTTCATAGTTTTAAATTGTAGAGGTGAAAGTTCAAAGTGTTTTTTTTGCAAGAAGTTTTTGAAAAAGAGGTGCTGAGATGGAGAGAAGTCCCGACATCTGTAGTGTAGAATACGCCATTGCGATATTCATGAAATTTCAACATTTCCAATCCTGGCCACAAACTGAAGGAAGCAAGTCAGCTGTATGTGTATGTAATATATGCATTACAAAGTGTCTGGATAGACAAGAGATAGAGCCTGAGTAGACAGAAGTTAGATAGAACGTTGTTCAATTTCCAGAGAAAGAAGCTAGAGGCAGCTGTTCTGTAATCGGGAAGAAGCAGGATAGGAGGTGGGGAAAGAGGAGAAGAAGAAGAAAGACAATTTACGAGAATTTGCAGATTTTCTGCTTTGAACTTTATCATCTTATGCGATGCTTGTCAGTTTGATTTACATCATTTCGTTATTTTTAACGTAACATATTTGCCCAACTAGTATTCTACCCATGTGATGGGGAATTGTTGAAGTACATGAGGAGTGACTGGTAAAATTTGAACGGACGAATGCAATTCTTATGTATTTCATGGATATATGTATCAGAAGGATGGCCACAAGCTCTATGAGCTTCCACACCTGCGAATTTTGAAAAGAATTTGAATAGCTTTGGAGAAGCATTTTATTTATTGTTTTCCAGTAGGAAATTCGGTTTAGTTCATAATTGCTGTGATATTTTGATACATTTCCTTGTTTCAGTGCTGTATGGACTTTATTTCATTTTATTTCTCCTTTGTGAATAGTCTTATTGTTATGTAAGCAAAAATGATGAAGAGAAATGTTGTTAATTGGCATAGAATTCAAGAAAATCATAATGAAATTTTCTATAATTCACGGAGCTATCCATTTCTGACGAATCGGAAATTAGGAGATCACAGAAGGAAGCAACGTATCAGAAAAGCGGACGGAATCCCTGCTGGCTGGCAGCATCTTCCTGTTATAGTCTTCGTAATAGAAATCAAATGTCCAAGACAAAAATCGAAACTACTGCATTTTGAATATTCTGTTTTTTAATTCTTTAAGCATTTAGAGCAGTTTTTAGCATTTAGTATTTGGAAGTGAATACTGATTCTACACAAACTTATCGGTTTGACTATTTCAAAATCTCTATAATGATGGATTTAGTTCAAAGCTCAAAAAAGATACAGTAATTTGATGAGTATGATGACTGGCTCATGAGTTATTTACCGTGATGTCTTCTTTCATTCATTTGTTGGAATTTGTCATATTCTTATTGAGTTCAAAATTGTCAATTCTATTTACATTCCTTTTGATTACTTTTAGATAATTTGTAATCGCTGACGATTTCATTTACAGAAATATGTCAGAATACACCAGCAAAAGCAACAACAACAACAGTAGCAGCAATTACAACACGGGAGCTTTTTATCACGGCTATAGGGACAGAAGCGCATTTGGTGATAGCCTGCGTGGAGGAACTGAGAGTGATTTGACAAAATCAACCTGGTTCTCAACTGCAACATCAAGCTTAGAGAATAAATACGATCATAGAATTTTCCCTGATGGGCCAATGGCGATGAGTTTTGAAAAGTATGTGCATAATATATTTCGTCCTGGAAATAAGTTACCAAAACTCTCCGCTACTTCGGGTAACTCGATAAGTGCCCAAAGAATGCTTCGAGTTCACGATTTATTCGGTTCTGCTGCTCTGAATGAATCCTGTAAGTTATATTTCGACATTCGATTCAACTTTTCAGTCATTTGAAATCTATTTTGTTCCATTTTGTCTTTTAATGATTTTAAGAAAAAAATCATTAAAAGATTTTTAAGAAAGAAAGATTTTCAAGATTTTTTAAGATTTTTAAGAAAAAAATCTTAGGAAAAGAAATTCCAAGAAAATTTAGAAGGAATTTTAACATTAACATTTGCAGTTGATGAAGACATCATGAAAACACCATTGGAAAAAATGTTCAATGAGTATAGCCTAACAGGAAGTGCGGATTACTTATCATACTCCTCTTACTACCCGACGAACAGTGTCAACTCAACTTGTAACTCAACCGTATTGTCACCTTTCCAAAGTAAGGTATGGTATTGTTCTTGTCACAGCAAATTAAATAAGTCTTCCTAGCTGGTTGCGCATTCCTCTAGTTAGTCTTGTGAAGAGTGGCAGCCAATACTGCAATATATGTCAGCAGGGTATCTTTCGGGAAGGGAAATTCGGCAGGTGAAGTTATTTATTACAGTTTGTGGTTTAAATTGCTATCACCTTTTTTGGTATGCTTTCTGTAGAAATGACATTTTATGAATAAAGTCTACAACCGATCTCGAAGATTCTGTGCATATTTCATATTTTTGTTTCCAGTATCTAATTGCAATAACATTTTCTTGAAAGGTTGATGTAAAAAAGTGAAACAATTTAAAATCCTTGAATCTTCCGTTCTTCAGCGCTGAGAACAAAGGAAGCAATATGAAGTTGTAGGAATGATAAAGTCTTCAGACCTTCATATCAGTTCAAAGAATACTCTAAGTAGTTTGAGGATTCTCATTTTATCTTATTTATCCTTTCTAGTTTCTTATTTAACAAATGAATGGATATGTAGAGCACTTGAGACATGTTAAAAATACTGCTAACATTCCGATACATTGTGGAGGATTGATTCCTTTTATTATGGTTTGATGGCGAGAACATAAAACATAATGACGTTAATGGTAATAGATACGAAATTCATATTTAGGATGGTTATGCATTTTACTGGAGAAAAGTCGATGATGACTGGAAACGGAATAACAAGCAGATGATTATTGATTATAAAGGATCCAATAAGTAACCTTTTAAAACTCGTAATTTATGTCACATGAAATGATGCATAGTTAATTGAATCTTCAGGATGAACTTTTAATTTCCAACAACATATCATTGAAAAAAAACTCTAGCAAGATTTAATCTAACCAGAAGCACAGAATATTTTGTTGGCGTAAACAGTATGAAGATCTAATGCATCCCGATTTCAGCACGCCATTGACTCCATACATGTACGCCGAACATCCGTATGTTCGCAGTCAGGATTCACGTATTGTTGGATCGAACTTCGTCCAAATAACATCACGGCCAAAAGATCGTTTTTTGGAGAAAATCGACCAGACGCTTGCTGAAGTTCGAGCTATGCCTCGGTTTTAAATAACGAAATCGGTGATAGCTTTTTTCTCTAGATAGAATACACCGAGTTATTAATTAATAAAACAAACGTTCTCACCTTCAATTTTCAATACGACTTTGTTTACCACAGTGTTGCTTCACTCCTGACGATGTGTTGTAATTTTATTGGCCTAATTTTGGGTCCAAAAGTTTACAGTTTTTACAACCGGAATTTACAGTTTTATTCCAGAAGCGATAGTTTGAGTCTATCCAACATGAATTCCATAAGTTTTATTCTTAATAATACGGCGAGTTCTTTACTTTTAAGCTCTGACATTATTCTTTAAGGATGAAATCTAAAAATCACAGATAAACGAATTTTATTCTTCACCGATCACTACAGTATGGTCGTCGTAAAATTTATACGGTGGTACTTCGAGATTGTTGGGTGCTGGTCCTGATCGTATACGACCCGATTTGTCGAATGATGAACTGTGACAAGGGCACAACCACGCATCATATTCACCCTTTCCATCTAAAAAGTACAAAAATGAGTCTTGAAAATTTCGAAGATATGAATTACAACGACATCCCGGATATTCAATATAGTACACGGCAATGCGATGGCGTAATTATTCGAAAAGACTATCTAAAATACAAACTTCCTGAAATACGTTTCTGGTCTAATACTCAAAATAATACATTTAATCCACTCGTTCTGAATACTTGGTACTCAGTTTTTTCTTTTTCTTTTTTCCACTGCTTGGAAAGTTCGGGCATATGTTTTTAGGTAAAAGAAAATTTAAGAGAAACTTAAATTGAAAATCTCATTGAAAGTGAGGTAATAGATGCCCGGCCAAATAAATGTATAAGGAAATCACGTACGTATAGGAACACATCCCAGATGCGAACATATTGCAATTAAGATGAGCCATTCCGGACGTTTTACACGCGCTGAGTCTTCTTCCGGATCTCTCAGTTCACTCAGTTTCACATTTCTGGCTTCCTCAATTTCCTCCTCTGTACGATGCTTCACGAATAACGGTTTGCCACGCCAATTGAAAACTTTGCACTGTAAATCATCATAATTTCCCAACTTTCTCGTTATGTCTAAAAGGATCTAGTGTAGATTTTATTGATCTTCCTAATGATTGCATAACTTCACACTCCCAGAATCATGAAACTATTCCAATTAATTTGTGCATCGGGTTGTTATCCATCGTTCTGTTATAATTTTTCTTTCAGAAATTTCCCGGGTAATATATCAACCTGTCCTTCATGTACTTCATCCAAATTAATTTGTGTTGTGCCAAGAGCAACTTGATCGGCAGGCATATTTTTGAAATAAGCAACAGTCTGGACAAGTTTCGTAGTCATCATCAGATAAATGGCGCCACCAACTGTAAAACAAGAAAAGGAATGAAAATAATTGATGAGTCTGAAAATAAAAACATAACGTTGAAAATTTCACACTGAGCTACTTACCTCCAAAAATGATCCCTTGCCGCACCGAGCGTCGTATATTTTCCGTTGAGCTAGCAGCTTTCGTCGGATTGGTGATACCGCGTTGATCGCTGATGTCCGGAAAACGTACATCACTATGAGCAAAACGGCATATTGGAAGAGATAAATCTAAATCAAACAATATATTCCTAAGGAGCTCGACACAGTTCCAACATTTTGTAACCACAGTTTAATTCAGGAATAGTAAGATGAAATTTGACATTTACTAATCACAAAATCTTCCCAGTCTTAGTTGAACGACTTACCGCACAATGGTTTGACTGGTAATGAGTACAGGAACGACCTATAAGAATGCTTCTTGACTTCTTGCTGTAGTACCCGCGATGCCGGAGACGTTGCTATGCCACCATTGCCAATGTTACACACCTAAACTTACCGACATAATTGGACGTATTAGTCTTATAAGGCCCGTGTAAAATCGTCACGAAAAGAAAAAGATTAAGTGAGACCGGTGAATATGTTGTGATTGCACCGTCCATAAGACTTTATTGAATCTCCCGGATGTACTCAAAATGCTTACTATCAGGTTTAGTCTCTTCATTGTTACCATACTGAAGTTTAATCTCAATTAGTCATATTTTCCGTAAAAAAAACCGCTTCTCCTAGCATTTTTATAGAAAAAGAGAGAAATTAAGAAACAGAAATGTTAATTTACCCATTTGATGGTTCTCGTTGACTGCATCACTGTTGTTGCTCTCAATCAATTTCCTGCAAATTATCCGTAAAAAAAAGAATTTGAAATTAACCCAGCAAATTTTGAACAATCTTTCCTATGCCATTCTCCTAAACTGTTCAATGAGGAAATTCTCTTCTCTTTATCAAATCAGCATTCAATTTAAAAAGAATAATAAAATAATTTGCATATGGCATACAATTGAAATAATTTACATGTGGCATACCAATTCCTCCAGTTCACCATAATGATCGAGAAGTATTCATTGGAGATATGTGATGATAGCATTTCACTTAGATTTCAAGAAAGGTTTAGGGAACGGGTACGCTAGAACTTTTATTAGTCAAGCGAGTCATTATAGTTGTAGTTTCTTGTGAGTGGCAACAGATAAGATGCAAGAAATACATTTTTACAGTTAGAGGTTTGGCAATGTCAAATGTTAAGCCTAATAACTGACAAGAATTAAATAGAATAGTGGCCAATATCATGGAGTCCGAATGTGGTCGAGTCGAAAATATAGCTACAACAATAATGATAGACCCATATCGCACTTAATACTAGCATTGTACGTATAGTTTTTTGACAGAAGTTCCAAGTTAGACTAACACTTCAAATATATATATTATATATATATTCATGCCTCCTCTTTTGGGATCATACTGGAGATCGCATTTAACATTTACTTCTCTTTATTCCAAAAGGTGAAAAAATGCTTGTCTCCCATCCTTGTCGCGAAAGTCGCGAAAATTAAAATAAATTTTGTGTAAGATGGGAATGCTTTCCATGATTCATGATTCATGATCCATTAATTATCTCATCTTAATATCTGTCTAAATTCACATTCCCATGTTTTTATCCCTGTATAAAGGAAATGCTTTTCTTTTCAATTGCTTAC